AATGAGGCTTGTGCGGTGCCGGATTAACCATTAAGCAGACTAAGCACGTGCTTAGGGCACCAGAGCCAAAGGGGGCACCACAAAGTTGGGAAAAATGTGAAAAGAAAAAAAACGAATAAAGATTTGTACTTCCCAGGTGTACCACAAGGGGCCCCCAACAATACAATACAATACAAGGGGCCCCTAATGCCACCCAACAAGGTGCTAATTCCCAATTATCAGAAAGTGAAAGGTACTCAAAGACTTGTCAGACACTCATTGATGCTTATCCAGACGACATGAACAACACTTTGTCTACAGAGCTTGAGCAGTTCCATTCATATGTTCTTCATAAGTTTAAAACAACCAAGAAAACATCTTTCACTCACATGGAACTTTACAACACAATTACAGAAGACAAACTAGAGAGTGCCTTTCCAAATGTTGAAATTGCCTTAAGAATATTTTTAACATTAATGGTTACCAACTGCACAACAGAGAGGTCTTTCTCACAGCTAAAACGTGTAAAAAAATAGATTGACTCGTAGTCAGAATGAAGGTGTACATGCATGTACGCTCAAAATTGCCTCAAATACCATCTCCTGCGATCTACATTTTAAAAAAATTCTGGGGGAGGACCCCCATACCCCCCGCCTGTTTATCACCACTCTCCTTGAAATCCTACATAAATTTGTGCACTGCTGCAACCTGCATTGTATATCTGGTCAGACAGGTCAACAACTAAAATGGACTGGGTCAGTGTGGAAAGGAGGGGGGCACCAAGATTGGTCAGTGCTTAGGGCACCAGTGAGCCTTAATCCGCCCTTGGGCTTGTGTCGATATAGTGTACCACCAGGTTCTGCTTGGTACGGGCACTAGGTACCCTGAGGTAAGCACGAATAATAGACAGCGAGGACTATCGCTTCACTACAATGTGGTAGGGAGGGGAAGAGAGTGAGAGGGGGCGGGAGAGGGAGACGGAGAGGTAGAAGTGATATGCATGTCCACATGAATTTAAACAATTGAATTTATGAACCCTCTCTCTTTCCCGTTTCACCCTTTCTCTTTCTCCCCCCCCCCTTCTCTCTCTCTCTCTTGTTTGTTTTCTGTCGCTCGCATGCGCACTTGCTCGCCCTCTCCATCTCTCCCCTTTCTCCCTGTCTCTCTCTCTCTCTCTCTCTCTCTCTCTCTCTCTCTCTCTCTCCGTCTTCCGCTTTCATTCGCTCTCTCACTTACTCTCTCTCTCATTCTCTCTTTTTTCTATCTATCTCTTGCTTGCTTTCCTTCTTCCTTTCTCTCACCGTCCTCTCTTGTTCCGTTTCCCTCTTCTATGGCCGTTTGCAGCCGTTTTTCAGCGCCCGAGAAGGCGAGAAAAAGAATGAGAGAGTAAAACGGCTAGAGAGGTAACTAAGAACTAGAAAGAAAAGAAAGAGGGAGAGGAAATGTCGTGTCCGCAATGAAATATGTCAGTGTATGTGCCTACAGTAAAGCTACGTGCGTGTGCACATCTCCATCTGCATTCCTCCCTCCCTCCTTTCTCTCCTTTTTTCCTTCCTCCTCCCCTCTCACTCCCTTCCCCCTCAGTATTTCCCTCCCCCTCTCGCGCATAGTATCGCCCACGGCATCAGTTGCACGTTGAAAAGTTAGCCAGGCAAATGGCTGGTTTTCAGCCTCAACCTTTTCACCCCCAAAGCACAAAATATGATATAATACGCGTTTTTACAGACACAAACACATATACACGCGCTAACGGACGCGCACACGCGGGTATGGTCGCACACACGCGTGCGCGTGTATTATAGGCGTAAATTCACATTTTGTGCCTCGGGGTTTGAAAATGTTTCGGCTATATCATAACGGATACTAATCTGTATGACACTGAAAAAGTCAGCCTCGGTTCAAGCACAAACATGTTGACTTTCACACAAAAAATTGTTTTTATTTTATTTTGCTTTATTATTATTATTTTTTTTTTTTTTTTTTATTTGCTGCAGGTTTCCGCGGGCCGCACAGAACCTCGTAGAGGGCCGCAGTTTGCCCACCCCTGCTCTAGACCATGAACACAACCGTAATTGTATTTAGGCAACCATCTTTCTTTAAAAAATGGTGTGTAACCGTCATGACACTTTCTGCGTAACAGACATGACAGTTTGTTTACTTTGTTCAAGCTATCATACTTCCTTCTGAAGGAATTATGCTTTCATGTATATATAGTAAGAAAACAGGAGTCTGATTCATATGACATGCAATTCAAGTGAATTTTCTGAAGTACTTACTAACCTCAGATATGGTACTATACTACTACATTGGCTAATTTATATTCCTAAAATAGCATGTCAAAGACGTGTACCTCAATTTAAAAAAAAAGTTTTTTCAGTGAGCCTCAGCATCTGTGTTATGATGAAGTTAGTATGACCTAAAATATGAACATTTAGACTTAATTTAAAAGCAATCTACAGGGGTAAAAAATAACTTGTGAACAAGGGAGTCCAACAGACTCCCTGCCCTCAAAAAGTGAGAGTTCGCAGCAAAATGAGGGAGTCCGCAGTCTAAAGTTCAAAACTAAAGATATTAACAATAACGCATGTGCTTATTTTGAAGGTTCATGAGGTTGCACGTCTGCCAAATTTTCTTTGGGCATTTTAATACTGAAACATTTTGCGAGGCCGTGCTCTGGAACGAACTAGTTAGTATAGCAGAATTTTTAGGGAGTCACGCGGACTCCTGCATATGTCAAATCAGGGAGTCCGACAGTAAATCTGGGAGTATTTGACTCCGGACTCCCATTAATTTCGCACCCTGAATCTATAAGAAACTAAGCAATTAATGTTTTTACTTGAGTGAACATTTTTTGGGAATTTCCCATATACTTATCTTAATAATTTGGGCTATTTGCATTTACTGTTTAGATGTCTTTATATGTCAGCCATGGGAATCTCAAGTGGGCTTGTCTGACTCTGATATCAAATGATCAGGTGGAAACTGCTATAGCGTCCACATATCTCAGAAGACGATGTACACCATTGTCCAGCTTACATCATATGGCGGCAGATCTATCTATCGACTCACTACATGGCTTGAAATGTCACCAATCCGGAACATTGTCTCTCGAGTGGGAACCTCAATGGGCAGAATTTCATCACCAGTCGGGAAGAATGAAGAGTATTGCTCGGTTCTAATACCAGTTGCATGCAACCTCATGACTCACTGTCACATCAACCTTGCTGGCCCTCAGACGAAGACTACACAACCAAGTTGATGCCTGATTCCATGATATATATGCAGAGATATACGAAACATGTATATATCCTATGGAAGAGGAAAGACTTTCATAAGTCCATAGTGAGAAGGTGAGCTTCCTCTTCCACCCAAGCTATAAGTTTTACCAACCATTGAATGTATGCTTTCCTCCATCTGAGATCCATCAACAAAGACTAATAGCAAAGCATCCAGTGATGAGCTGCTAATTTCATCATCAACTTCACTACCACCAACTCCACCACCACCAACTCCACTACCACCAACACCAACTACTTATGGAGACAGTGTCATCGCCGTGCAAGAGCCACCTGGGAAGAGCAGTGGCTAAGTGATTGGTGCTCAGGACTTCAGGCTGAAAAGTCTGGAGTTTGGAGTCCCACCTTGTGCCCATAACATAACATAAGGGAGTGACTTTCATAAGTCACTAGTGAGGAGATAAGCTTCCTCTGCCACCCTTAGCTACAGGGTGTCCTTGGGCAAGGCATAGCACCTGTTTAGCCTCTCATGCCAGGGTTACGGTGAAGATGTCTAATGTAATGGAGATGGGCAAGTGACTGAACACAGCATTGACCTAATTGGAGGGAAGAACAAACATAGCTAAAGGAGTGCTGCTCTGCTAGATAATCTGTGCATCAAAGAAGGTAAATAACACCCGCATCTTTCTCCAACTAAATAGCTGCTAGTGACCCAAGGAAGATGGAGAAGACTTGTTTTTTTAGATACTACAGCACAAGCAAAAATCTATATAAACGTGTTTGTATCAAATACAGTGATCAAATGTAAGACGTTATCTGGTTGGCAGAACCAAACGTTTTTCACCAATTTCAACCAACTCTATACATGTTCTGTCACTTTGAAGGTATCTGTTTTCAGATAGAGGAGGGATAATTGGTGCCAGTGTGCTGAGTCGTGAGGCTGGGATTGGAACAAGATATCTTTTTCCTCCATTTACTCCATGAATGCTTATCATTTAGACCAGCAATACACAGTGAGTAGTTCCTGTCCGTATCTTAGGGAAAGGCTTGGCTTTCGAGAGAGAGGGATAGGGGATGTATACATATATGTGTGCGTGTGTGAAAGTATGCATACGTGCGTTCATGCGACAGCAGCAGCAGCCGCAAGGGTAGGTGGCAGCAGCAGCAGTGGCAAGGGTAGGTGGCAGCAGCAGCAGTGGCAAGGGTAGGTGGCAGCAGCAGCGGCAGCAATTGTCCCCAGGAATAGAATCGCAAACGTGGATTTCTCGCTCGCGATTGTAATCGTTGTTGCGATAAAATACGATAATGTAATATAATCGTGATGTAGTAATATTGTAAAATAAATATGTAATATTCCGTGTGATAATATGTGATAAGAACATATGTGATGAATATTTATTGAATGAAAAGTTGCGGTTACAGAGATTTATGGGATAGATGAATCGATTGATGGAGCAATTGACGTACAAGTCGATATTTAGATAGTACATGACAAATTGAACATGGATTCTAACAACTCGTTATATAGCGTACTTATCTCGCATTATATTAAAAGTGCTGGCCTCATAAATCTTACTATTACCGTTCCTACCATCCTAGATGAGCGTGTAATTAGCTAGCGCCAAGAAACGAATGAATTTTCTTACACAAATAAGCACAGCAAAGACATTTAGTCTCACAGCCATCTCGGGCTTAATTGGGTCCGATCCATCGGCGATTAATTAATTAATTATTGAGTAAATAGTAGAAGTAGTAGTAAACCTTTCTGTTGCTTCATTTCTATAGGTGCGTTCAGGGTTGAGATGCAGAGAGAGAGCCAGAAGGATCGGACGATTCTGTGCAAGTACGACCCGACGGAGCCCGGCGAGTACTTTGTTCACGTGAAGTGGTCCGGCGTCGACGTTCCCGGAAGTCCGTTCAAAGTTTGCATCTTCGACACTCAGGACGAACTCGAGCGGTGAGTGACGGCAACGTTCGTGACTGCTGCGTCGAAATGCGTTCGTTTCTAAAACTACTATCAACCCGTTAATATCGCGAGAATTTTATATTCGGCGTGAGTGGGCGCCGCTTTTTTTCGATATCCAAAAAGGAAAGAAACATTTAATGTTAATTTATTTAATTTATTTATTTAATTAATAAAATATAATTTAGCTTTTTAGAAAGCGCGCACATTGTTGCACTACCTCGTGTGACATTTAGTCAGCGTTAGATCGGCTGCGAACTAACTTATTGGTGTTATTGTTTAGACATGTTTTGGTCTGGCTCAGTGGTGGATCCAAGGCCCCCCCCCCCTATTCGGCAGCACACCGGCGCTATCACAAAATCAGCACTCCCTAAAATGAATTCTTGGCTACACGGTTGCGCCCTCTATTTCAACATCCTGGATCCGCCATTGTCAGACTCCCCTACGCACAACTGTCTTGATAACAGTGCGTCTGTGTTTTAGGTACCGAAGAGGGGGCTGGGTGCCAACATGGGGTCCAGTCGAACCCCAACATGGCGGCAGCCTCTACTCACCGGTGTATAGACCAGCAATCCCGTGGGGCCAGGACATGTAGGGATAAATCTGCAGTGTATTGAATGAACAAGCAAACATTCACGTTTGTAAACTTCTACAAAAGGAACTCGTAAATTGTACTATTTGCCTGTTACTAGCATATCACAGACGTGCTGTTTTACGCTCGGCATTGAAATGGAAATTATGGCATGAATGGCTGTTATTACAAATGAGATTTGTTTAAGAATACACGTTCGTAAAACTTAAATATTTACGCAGCAGAATACTCAAATCTTATACTCACGTGCACAAATGTTTTTAGTCCATTCGCATGATCTGACAATGCTTCTCACAGAATTTCAGCCCACGATTTGCCAGAAATGTCAGTGCAGAAGAAAACGGCATGATTGTTGAAAGATAGATTAAGATCAAAAGCATTTTTAGCCAGACGTGTTACGTGTTAGTTTTAGAGATGGCAAATATAGGTACTTGTGATAAAAGTAGTATAATTATTTGATTAATCACAATTATATGTAGGTAGGCAACGGAGATAGAATATACATATATAACATACTCATGGTAATAATACTCGTCGTAGTCTTTATCACATCTGGCAGCAAGCTTGCAGCAATTTTTTAAGTATGAGAATTCTATCAGGAGTGAATAATCCTGTTTATATATATATATATATATTACAGCTGTAATGTGCCTTGTCCATTAATCGCTAATATGGTGAACAGACAAATGATGTTAACTGTAGACATTATGTGAGGTGATCGGTGCTGGAGATGAAATCTTTATTGACATTTTATCTTTTCATCTTGCATGATAGATAGACGATACAACGTATTTTTAGTTTAGAGGGCTCTTGACTGTTAACTTTTATTTACTATATACAAGTATCTTCAGTATTTATCGAGCGAATATTTTTTATAATATTTTGACAATAATGTTTCTGCGGAGGATTTTCATTTTTTTAAATGAAATGGTTTTATACGTAGACAAATATCGGTTAAAATTAATAATGTGAAATTATTAATACTGTAGTGGGATATATTATACAAGTTTGTGTGGAGTATCCTGTGGCGGGTCTCGGATACTTTAAAGGCAACTAATAAATTTTATAGTAACTAGAATACCTTGCATACAGACTATCACTGTACTTTCCATATGGCATTTTGCATACATGTGGTACGAGATTGACAAATAAAAGCCCTGATTGCACGGATAGACATATATATATATAAGGATATATATATATAGTAGTATATACTATAGTAGTATAATAGTACAAGACAGATGTCAAGATAATAGGTAGAGAGGGTGTTTTAAATTCTAGATCAGCGACGCAAACTTTCGGTCATGGAGGAAGGAGTACGTCTCTAAAGCTCTACGCTACTTATTTCAATTTGTGTTTCTATCTACACATGGTAGTGGCGTGTGGATTCTACTTTCTCAGTAATCTATATAGTTGTGTGCGTGGTGCGTGCGTGCGTTTTGGTTGTGTGTGTGTGTGTGTGTGTATGGTCGTGTGTTTGTGATGTGTGTGCGTGTGGTGTGTGTGTGGTGTGTGTGGTGTGTGGTGTGTGTGTGTGTGTGTGTATGTGTGTGTGTGGTGTGTGTGTGTACGTGTGTGTATTGTGGATAGTGTGTGTGGAGTGGTAATAATCATAATATCAGAGTACATAATAAAGGAACATTAATAAATAATTACAATTAGGAGACATATAAATAATAGGAGGTAACGATAATCTTCCTATTATTACTCTTTGAGGTGAATATTAATTTTATATATATATACAATTAGCATTACGAATGCATCAAAAAGGCTTTGGCATACCAACGATTAAACCCAACTGCAATCGACCCCAACTATTGCTTTTATCAGGGGTTTGTTATAATGTACAAATTTGTCCATTTGACTGTGAAAGCGACCGTATATAGCCAGTATATGTTCATATTTTGTGCATCAGCGGCGCGAAAAGTTTGATCCCGAAAATCGCTCCGCGACTGGTGGATCAAACCTAGTACGACAGTAATATACTAATACGCTACGCAGATCGTCGAGGGCGGGTACGCCATCCACGGAAGGAGAGGAGAAAAGGGATTAAGGAAGGCCGACAGAAAAAGGAATATCAAATAAAAAACAATTGAATGGGAGCAATAGTGGGAGGCTAGAGAGAGAAGAGGAGTGATAAAAACAGAAGGGAAAGTACTGGCAGAGG